CAGATCTTCAGGCCTGCTTGATGAAATGAGGTCACAGTTTTAGAGGATATCCACCCAGTTGATAAATAGGAATCATACTTTAAAATTGTCTTTGTTGTTGATAACTTACTGCAGACAGTAACTTATTAGACACCTATCCTTTCAGGTGGATGTTTCAAAAGGAACTTACAGAGGAAAGAAAACCTCAATCCTCAAGATGACCCAGTACCTAGAATTTTGAAGACTATGAGAAATTTCCTGTAACCTCTGCCTATGTGGCCAAACCCTGGAAATACATAAGTTCACTGAGTGTACAAATACTATTATTGTCCTGGAAATTGCTGAAACGGATACTGAGAGTCTGTCTTACCAATGTAAACCTACAGTCATAACTGCAATGATTTCTGACAAGAATATACCCCGCAGTTCTCTAGAGTTCAATCTCTTATGTAACAGTATTCTCAATGACCAATCAAAATGGGCCAATGACCTAAAGACTTGTGTCACTGTACTTTTTCTTTGGTAATTTCATGGTATTACTGAAATTAATATTTCCTTATTTTATTAAGTAGAGCTTAAGTATACTTCGCAGTTGTTGCTAGTTTTTTTTAAATGTGATTGGGGTATAAATGCATTCATGAATACTTGGACTATTAATGAGAAGCTAAGGGGAAGGAGATTGAAACTGAAGCTGGTAGAAGAGAAATCTTGCTGATCAAGGAGAATTATGCATTGCAGAACCAGTGACTACCACAGCAATAATCACTGAGTCCTTCTTATATATCAGAGTAGAAGGGAAAAAGAACTTACAGAATTCAGACCAAGAAAATGATTGAACAGGTTCATTGTAAAGGGAGAATGAGAGGGAAGTGTGGTTGGCTACTTTTTATCCTTCTAGATTTTCCCTGCCACCTTTAGGGACACCAGTCACTGCCCTGTCCTAGTCATATTCACCAGTAAATATATAGACAAGCCTGTTTCTTCCTAGAACCAGCAGGAGACCAGAAAGAGGGTACAACCTTTGTCCTTGACCAAGCTGAGACCTGTTCCCACTATTCCCACCACCATCTCTCCTGGATTTCGGGGATCTCTGCTCCCAGCACTCCAGGGCTATACCAGCTAGTCTGGGAGCAGTAGCAGAATTAGAGACATGAGCACCCTATATGCTAGTGGAGGTGTAGCAGCATGCCCACCCTACTCATTCCCTTCCACTCTATTTCCAGGCAGGAACACATCCTTCTCTTCCCCTTATTCTGGAAGAAATTTTCTCAAATGACCGTGCTCAATGCTCATGTCTGACACCTCCTCAGTCTCTTTCTCCATCCCGCTCACCCAGCTTTCTTTGCTGAATACAATCTCTCAGCCATCAGCTATAAATAACCTGGCCTGTGCCCTTCCACCGTGTGTGTGAGCTGGTCTAATCATCATCACTATTCCAGCTCCTGTTTGCTTCCCCACTTCCTTCCACAGAGCCCAGCCAACACCACCCAGCATATTCCAACTCCTCCTAGGAGCACACACTGGCAGAAGCAGCAATTAACACTGGTATTTCTGCAAGCTGGAAATTCTTATAATTAAAACTTCTTTTGTAAGATCTCAGGAGTCTAAATAACCCTAAGGGAAGAAGAGCACCATCATCTTATCAGGAAATGTGATCAGTAGAAATAGATAAACTCAGTAACGTAGGCCTAAAGTTTTACTCTAGGGCCCAATTATCAGATATAAATATTTCTGTTGATTAAAACATGATAAGCTTGCTATATTCATGAGGAGCTTTTAGCACATATAGATAGTCTCTAAAAGCAGCAACACTTGCAATCAGCCGTGTAATCAAAAGTTAGTTCTGACGTAATCACTTCCCAAAGCTTAACAAAGACAGGTCTTAGCAGACACAGCAGCCATCCATTAAAGGCAGAAACAATTAGTTTGACAATATAAAGCTCAACACAAGTGCAAAACACTAAATTAAAGGCAATTGAAGAACACCAACTTATGGACAGTAGTCACCAATGTGATATTTATTAGTATTTTAAATCTTAGAAGGCCAAACAAATTTGCAATGTAATTATATCAGCAGCTTTAGAGATGACACCTTGCTAAACCCAGATGAGTCAACTGTCAATCCAACATTATCTCTATCTCTTTCTGAAAAACCAAAAAGCGCTGACATCAGATAGCATTTAGCCTTCTGACATAACAATATGTTAAACTTTACTCACCCAGAAAAAGGATAAACATGTTTTATAAATGTGCCAGACCTGTCCATTTTGATAAATGCAAGCTGACAAATTATCCACAGGAAAACAAATATATTAACCTATTCCACATAAGATGGCTCAAATATGTAGCTTTCTACAGTTTCTGAAGAAGCCATAACACCACAAAAAAGATTTTTTATTTGAAATATAGGTATATAGGCTTTCTTCAAAATCAGAAAAAAGAGTCTACATATCAATTGGGATCAATTCCAATAAACAAAAACTCATGCATTTAGAATGAAAAAAATTACACCACTTTGTAGTCTGCCTTCTCTCTCTCTCTCTCTCTCTCACACACACACACACACACATACATACACAATTCCATTGCCTGCCCCCGAGCACTAAAACATGCACGTACTGGCATTTAAACCATGAAGAACCACCCAGAAGCAAGTAGCTTGTCCATATTAAACATATTCCTTGCTATTTTCCTACTTCCTCAAACCACCCTCCATGTGATCTATAACAGTGCTGACTTTCTCCATCTCAAAAAGAGCTGATAAACCCCTCCACATAAATGAGAGCTTCTATTGCCCAAGAGATGGGTCGACTCAACTGACTGGTGCCAGGATCTTGTTAGAAAATGCAAACTAAGCTAACTCTCTCCAAAAGACAGTGATCTCATTCCACATAGCTGAGAACTTGTTTAACTGTTACAATGCTATAGTAGGCACATGTCTGAAATGTTCAGCTCAGGGGACCTCCTTAGGCCTCGAAAGGGATCTCTCCTGCTTAGGCTATTCAGTGAAAGAAGCAGAGAGTTGTTAAAGAACACTGCTCTGTTGCAATTCCAAAGTGTCCATAATAAAGAGCATACAGTACATTGCACATAGAAGATATCAGGGCTCAGACCCAAAAGACAGGAACAATCAAAAAGCGAGTAAAGAAAGGACAAGGACATCCAGCTAATGCAAAACATGAAATTGTTCAAAGAGAGTAATTCAGACCACTCATCCAACCAGTCAAATTGCTTCTGTAATTCTATGAGTTACAAAAACACAAAAACAAGGTTGCTCGTCTTAGTGGTCAACGTAGACCTAATTTCACCGGATAATTAGTTTGACTCAGTGTTTCACCTGCTTGTGAGAGCAGTTTACAGACAGGCAAATGCACTGGGATGGTGTCTCCAGGCTGAGTCTACAGCCATGGAAACTAAAGAAAATAGCATAAATCCCTTCCCCCCAGGGGACCTTCCCAGCTCCTCGCCAAAATATGGCCCATCAAAATCACTGTGTCCATTCACTATGGCTTTATCCGCAGTGATGTGACTTTGAATGCTTACTCATGAGACTCACCTTGATATCAGGGTTGTTTTTAATGTAATAATAGTGATAGCCTCTGCCACTGATGGAGTTCTTGCTGCTTCCCAGGCAGCATGGTATGGCCTTTAGGCATTCATACAACTAATACGTATTAAATGTCGACCAAGTGACAGAACTGTTCTGGGTTTGAGAGCACAATCTGAATGAAACAAAGTCCATGGTGTCTTAGAACTTTCTCTCCAATAAGAGGAGGGAGACAGAAAGGTAAATATAGACTCTATCAAGTGGTGATCAGGGCTATAAAGAAGAAAGGGGGTGAACATGCCAGAGGGTGACAGTGTCATCACGACAAAGACCTCCTGGCACACACTTGTACTCAAACACATTAATATACCGACTCATTGCAATAAGCGAGAACACACACGGTTGGGATTTGGGAATCAAAGTAAGAGAGTGTTTAAAGGACTCATGACAATATGTGGGTTGTGTTAGATGATTTGGGGGAGGATTCGTGAAAGCAGGGTTTTGCTCTGGGCTGGATAGTGTCAGCACGTGGGGGTAATTCTATAATCAGGTATCTTAATAATTCTTACATGAAGGTAGGAAGGATGAAGCAATGCACTCAGTCACTCACAGCAGCCACAAAGGGGACATGTGACCTTATTTGTGGTTTGGACAATATTCTTATTTTTATCTGCTTTTGGACATCAGCATAAAGGGGTTTTGCTTTTGTCTTGATCCATTATGGTCACAGAGTGGCCTTATCTGATGTTGTGATCTGTGAAATTGCTTATGCTCAACAGGAGAATGGCATAGCTGAGATAAGAGTGTCAGGCCAGCTCCCAGCTGTCAGGGGCTGTTTTTCTTTTTCCCATACTCAAACTGCAGGCAACCTTCCAAAATAGGCACTATTACCGTTTCTCTTTTACAAAATGATGAAATTAAGGTCCAGCAAGATAAAGGGCTTATCTTAGAGCAAGCAACTAAGAAAGCCAGGATTCAAACCCAAGTTATCTGACTCCAGAGCCAGCCTCATCAGCACTCCTTACACAGACCCTTACAGCACTGCACCTTTTGAGCTGCTCAGCAAAGCAATTATCTTCAAAAAGACCAAAGTGGCATCTCAGTGGGAGGGTGGATGATGCACACAAAGCCTCAAGTGGAAGCTGCCACCAGTAGGCATCCCAGTACCTAAGTACCAAGAAATTAAGTTCACGTGGTCATTATCAAGACAAACACATTTTTCTCCCAGAGATGAGGAGACATTTTCCATTTTATTTAAATTGGAAGGTTTCTTTTTCCATAAGTTAATCAAAACTAATTTATCTCAGCAACTTATGACCTATAACCATAGCTTTAAATACTGGAACAGTATGTTGTAATAACATAAAAGTAAAGTTCTACTGTGTAAAGGTGACAGAGTATAAAGCAATTGATACCAATTTTATCCCATATTCTAAAAACACCCTCTCCCATATCATCCAAAGTCAAGGCTTACCAAAAGGTTTTCCGGCTTGAGGTCCCGGTGGACGATGCTCTTGTCGTGCATGTGGACGAGGGCCTTGCATAAGTCCATGATCATGAGGGCCGCATCGGGCTCCGGGAACTTCACACTTTCTATGATGGCGTCAAAAAGGTCTCCTCCCTGCACGTACTCCAGGATCAGGTAGATTTCCATGTCTGTTTCGTAGACTTCATGCAATTTCACGATGTTGGGGTGAGAGAGGCTCTGGATGATCAAGATCTCACTGTCCACCATGTCCTCCTTGCCCTTGAGTCGGGACTTGTCAATGATCTTCATCGCATAGGCCTGCCTGGTCTCGCGGTGCCTGCACTCCTTCACGACAGCAAAGTTCCCGTCCCCAATGACGCGGCCAGTCTCATAATGCTTCTCCACATTGGCGGCAATGATGCCCATGGGTCGCGGCTTCCGACCGCTGGGCCGCTCCGGCTTGTTCTCTTCTGGCCTCGTCTTGGGCTCCTTTTCTAGCTTTGCAGGTTGGTCATCTCTGAGAGTCGTCTTTCTGCCTCCAGACATACATGGCTTTTTCTCCTTCTCTGCCTCCTTCTCTTCTCCTCGGGTCCTGGGGAGCTTCTCAAAGCCCGCCTGATGCTCTCTCAGGAGCCAGCCACCATGCTTGCTCCTGCTCATGGGCCTGGTATCTTTCTTCACCTCCCTCAGCCCTTCCTCTGTGACAGGAAGAACTTCCGCAAGTTCCTTCTTGGCCTTGGCTGCTCCCTGAGCATGGCTTTCTTGATCCTCTGGGCCTCTGTCCTCTTTCTTGTCCGTGCTCTTGCTGGGTCTCCTCAGCTCTTGAGTGGGATTCCTGGTGCTGCTCCTGTGGCTGTCACCCTTCCACCCTTCCTCCCCACCTGCAGGATTTGCCTCGGGAGACCTCCTGCAGCTTCTGGTCCTCACCAGCTTCTCCACCTCATACATTGGGCCCTTCCCCATATCCAGCTCACTGGTCCCCAGAGAAAGCCTCTCGCGCTCCAGGCTCTGCTGAAGCTCCCTCTCTCTCTTGCACTTCTCACATCTGATAATTTCACCCGAGGTCTTTTCAATCTCCACCCCGAGGTGCTTCTCTCCCCTTGCGTGCTTCTCTTCTAGAGTGGCTTCCCTGGGCAGCTTGCTACTGGGTTCTGGCTCCCGTTTCCCCCTCCCCCACTTCTTCTGGGTCCTTGCTCTGTCATCTAATGAAAGCTCTTCGGGGATCTTCCCCTGGTGCCTCATGGCTGCCTTGCATCCTGCAACCTCGCTGCAGCTTTTGGGGGTCTCGGTCTCCCCACAGCGGTGGTCTCCTTTCAGAGCCTTGCTAAACAGCCTGCTCCTCAGCCTTGGAGAAGGGATACGGCTGTGCTGGGCCAGTGTCAGGGCCCGGGCTTTGTTGGGGTACAATTCTTCTACAGCCACCTGAATGCTCTTCAGTGTCAGTGGTTCTTTGCCCATAGCTATGAAAGCATCCCCTTCCCTGAAGAAATCAGAGACGCTCCTGATCTCCCTGCCCTTGAGGTTAAACAGTTTCCTTACACGGTCATTCTTCCATCTGGGAGAGCCCAAGGCTTCTGAGATGTCAGCTAAGAGCTGCTCGAATGTCTGCACTGATCGCCTGTTGAGGAGCAGGGTGATCTTTCGGGGGCGCTGCCCACTCAGCTTCACCACGGTCACGACCCTGGGCTTCAGCGGGCTGTTCTCAGGATGTGCCGAGTGAAGGCCATTCCGAGGGCAGAACAAGGGCACGACGGGGCCACGCGGCCCCAGGAATGGTTTCTCCAGATTCCCTCGGCTGGCAGGCAGCCAGGAGCCTTGCAGCTTCCGCTCTGTGATTCTCGAGCTTAAATATTTTAGAGAATGGTCACACAGGCCTTGCTGTCCTGCAACAGGAAAAGGACAACAGAGTGTTAGTTAAGATGGGTTCAGAGAGCCCTCAGCCTTCACTGAAACTTTACTAAAGATGACTGATTCTAGTATTACAGTTTATAAGTATGGTTCCCGAGAGTCTTAGAAATGACGGAGCCTTTATACTTAGGTCTAATTCCCAGTCTGCGCTACACCAAAAGTGCAGAACAGAGTCAGCGTCGGGCCTGCAGTGATTCCTGTAGGCCTCATAGAGGCCCCCAGGATGGGCCACACCTCGGGAGCTGATACAGTTTGGCTCTATGTCCCCACCCAAATCTCATCTTGAATTGTACTCCCATAATTCCCACATATTGTGGGAGAGACCCGGTGGGAGACAATTGAATCATGGGGGCAGTTCCCCCATACTATTCTCATGGTAGTGAATAAGTCTCACGAGATCTGATGGTTACATCAGGGGTTTCTGCTTTTGCATCTTCCTCATTCTCTCTTTGCCTGCTGCCATCCATGTAAGGTGGGACTTGCCCTTCCTTGCCTTCCGCCATGATTGTGAGGCTTCCCCAGCCATGTGGAACTAACTGTGAGTCCAAGAAAACCTTTCTCTGTAAATTGCCCAGTCTCAGGTATGTCTTTATCAGCAGCATGAAAAGGGGCTAATACAGGAGCCCTCTCAAGGTGAGGGCTGACTCTGTAAACACAACTCCAGCTACCCCAAAGTGAACTGACCTTCAAGGATCTACAACTGAGATAAAAAGGGCCAGTTGTGCTGCCCATGAAACACCAACAAGAGGAACATTCTAGAACTTTGAAAGGCCAGGTTTGCTGCCCATGAAATACCAACAAGAGGCAGGAACATTCCAGAACTTTGAAAAACCCAATCTTACCCATCTCTTTGCCAAGAACAGTTTTTTTTCCAGCTTGATTTTGAACTCACTCAAGGTTGAGTAGTATGCGAAGAGGTTATGGTCACGGGGTTTAAGACAGATCTGGATTTTAATCCCGGCACGGACACAGACTACTTGTGCGAACTTGGGCAAATTATTTGTATTTCATTTTTTTTTTTTTTTCATTTATAAAGTAAGAATGCTACACCTCTCTCCCAGGGTTTTTGTGAAGAATAAATGATCAAATTACAACTTACCTAAGAGAGTGTCTGACACATGGTAAGGACACAATAGTTGCTAGTTATTAACACCATCCTTATGATTTTAATATCTATTTTATATTATAATTTCACTTTATTAGTAGTATAATCTATCAATAAGGTAGAAGTCTACTGTGCACAGCTTCACCTGGCATTACAAGAACTCATGGGCCAACATGACATGGTAGTTATTTCTTAAAGCTCTGACTGAGATCCACTTGCATTAGAGTTAGTATAGGAAAATTGAAGGAGGTTTCAATCTAGGTGTAAAAATTTCCTTGTCCAGATGGCTTTCCCTCTTCTTATTAAAAAAAATGTAAAGAAACCAAGGTTCATAGCTTAAATAATGAGAATGTACATGAATAAAACAAGACTTTTGTATTTCCTGATTGACTATGCCCAGCCAGAGTAAAGCAGCTGAGGCAGGAGTGGTTTAATTTCCTCAGTTTCTATCCAGGTCAGGAAGAGAAATTGGAAAAGAACAGAATGTGTCACTCAGTTAAGCCACAAGGGTGGGATGACAATTATTAAAGTTACCCTACAGGACCTATATGTCATATCCTACATGGAAGAATCTGCTGTTTATGCTTCCTTTAAAAAGAAATTTAAGATAATCATTTATAAGTGTACTTGAATCAACTGTAGCAGAAACTCCAGTTGTGCCAGGATGGGATTTTGGCCCAGCAAATCTACACAGAATGTTTTTTGTTTTTTAATTATAATGTACAATCTGTTCTGAGATGATTTCCATCTAGATGCAGGTGTCAGATGAGATGACAAGGTAGCGGCTGATACTGATCTTCCCACACGCCACAAATTTATGAGCTTAACAATCACATTTATAGTTAAACTGTATATGGACATCTGTTATCCCCTTTCTTCTCACAGCCTCTTTAATTAATCTGCCTCCATTTTTGTCTGAGATAGCCGATGTTGAGAGAAAGAAAGAGAGCTACAGAAGGAATACTAGCTTGTATTTCCTGCGTTGGGGAACCGAGGAAGGGTGTCAAGGAAGGTGACCGTCAAACTCGTGCACAAAAGGGCTGGTGTTCTTGTTGGTTTTTCTTATGTGCTTCACACACAGTAGGATCCTTGATACATACTGTCAGACTAAGTAAATGAAGTCCTGATTATTTTCTCAGAAGACTCAGTATAGGGACAGAGAAAGAGATTTTAGCCTATATCCTGGACAGCGCTTTTTCCAAGCAGATGTGGGAAAAGCATAGGGAGGCCCAAAGGATCAACTACTGGCTGTGGTCACAAGAGGGCAGACCTACCAGGAAAACCTAGAGGCATAAAGAGGATATAATGAAATCCAATGAAGTACCAGGAGAATGAGCAACCAAGAGTGCTAGGAAGACAAGATTTGAGTTGGGCTTTCAACACCTGATGAGGTGGAGGCCACCCAGTACATAGCAAAGGAACCAAGACATAGGGCTGGACCAGTTGTCCACATGGCCACTGAGGTCAGTACAGATGAAGGTAAGACTCAATGTGGAGATGAAGACACTGGTAACATGGAGAAATGAATGGCCAGCCACTATATGACAGTGGCAAACCAAGGGTGTATATTGTATCACCGGATGATATAAGCCTCAGCTAAGGAAAGGTGTTACAGGAGGGAAGAAAAGTAATAGTTCTGAAGCAGACCTGGGGAGCTAAATTCTGAGCTCTACCTTCAAAATCTATAGTCCCTGGAAAAGAAGAATTATCCATTACAGGGAAGAAATAGGAGAGGGATCCTCAGGGGAGAACCAATAGGACAAAGGAACATTCAGTGAATACCTTAAGGATGTTTGAACATTTAGCATAGAATGAGGTTCAGAAGAGCCCCTGAACTCTCCTAAAAGGTCCAAGATGGGATGTCAGGGAGGCATAAAGCAGTGCTCATGGAACAGGACTGACAGTAATGGGCTTTATGTATTGAGTGTTGACATAGAGTGACAAAGAGGCCAAATTACAATAGGACCAGTAGGCTCAAGTTCCCAAACATTGGAATTACAGAGTCTGAGTGTGGTAATGGATGACTTGGCACAATGGTACCCAGAGCTGGGTAGGGAGAAGAGGGGATGTGCTCTCTGGGATTTCTGTGCTCAGTCAATCTCAGCAGACCCTAACTCAAAGCTTGCCCTGATCCCTAGTGGTTAAGAGAGCAACCTGGGAACACCCCATCCCTGAACAAAGAATGGGCTCCATAAGAGCAGCCTCCACCCCAGGGCATGTTGTAAAAGGATGTAAAGAGAGAACAGCTCAGCCTCCACCACACCAGCATCAGACATGCTCATTCCACTGCCCAGGCATTCACAAGCTCATTCAAAAGCTCCTTGGTCTGCAGCAAAAGTGGGAATTCGGTCTCCACCTCCTTAGCATAACTGGGACCTACTGAAATTGCACTTCTTCTAGCTATGACTGCTTCAAGCTACTGGGAAGCACCAGGAAAATGCAACCTTGGGATGCACTGATTTTTATCTTCTCTTCCACAAGACCTCTTTCCTCTTTTAAAATAGTCTTTACAGGTAAGAGAGAAAAAGAAGAAGACTCTGAATGCCTGGTCCATGGGCAGGGAGAACGAACATTAGGGAGAGCACAGCATATCCTTTAGGCCTGGGGCTCAGTCTCCAGGAACATGCTCATGCCCCAGGACAACTGCACAGAGTACTTTCAGTCTCCCACTAAGCGCCACTGTCCAGAACCTACCCCAATCAACTTTACTAGAAAGCCACAGGCCTGCCCGAGTCCACTCAGCTCCAGCGATACCTTTACTTACAAAATCAGTAAAATGGAACCATACGAAATTGCTGGTAGCTCTACCAATTTTGAACCATCAAAAACAAATTTCATGTGGCTCACCCTCATACCAGTTGAGCATCCGAAAACCAAAAATACAAAATCTAAAATGCTCCAAAGCCTGCAAACTTTTTGAGCACTGACATACCTACCAAAGGAAATGATCATTGGAGCATTTCAGACTTCAGATTTTCAGATCTGGGATGCTCAACTGGTAAGTATAATGCAAATATTTCAAGATCCAAAAAAAAAAAAAAAAAAACTCCTTGAAATAAAAAAAAAATAAAAAAATAAAAAACCACTTTTGGTCCCAAGCATTTTAGATAAGGGAGACTCACTTGACCTGTATAATCTAGGATAATAATCTGTATTCTGTCCCTATATCAACAGTAAATTGTTTATGAAGCCGTAGATAGTAAAAATTAAACATGCTAATTCTGTCTTCAGCCACCAAGCCAGCCACGTCCCAGGAAGTAACACAGGGAAAATATGTTCTTATTAACACCTTACTTTTCTGTTAACTTCCTACGGCAACATAAATTGGCCTGGACTTGACAAAACTGCTGCTTCTACTTCAATACACCAAGATATAAATGTTTATAGGGTCTCTCCTCAATGCCTGTCTAACCCCACAAATACAGAAGAGCAAGCACTGCTTTTGATAAGCCATCCATCTGCTCAATAACCTACAGTAGCTCCTTATTAGCCTCCTTGAGGTCCAAACCCAAATTCCTCTGCTTGACACATAAGGCCCTTCACAATTCCAACCCACTCCACCTCCATTCCCCCACCCATCCAAGCCTCACCATCTTGTAAAGCCTAAGACCCATTTCTACTCCCAAACTTTCTCTGTCCTCATAAGTTCGCAGTGATAGCTCCCTCCTCTGAAGACCTGTTCATTCATTAAGGCAAAATTTAGCATGAATGCCTGAGACCAACACCTACCACAGAATATGGAAGATGTGGTTTTGCCTGCTGCACATCTCAGCTAATTGTTACTTCATCTTAGTAGGTGTAAACATTCTCCCTCTCAACTAAACTGTAGGCTCTCCAAAAGCAGAGACCAGGGTTTATGCAAACCTCCCA